AGGACCGAGATAAAGGGGTTAGGAAGTCAGAGTTAAGCTTGGGGCTGGAACCTTCACTGAGTGTTCCCAGACCTTCCAGTGGTAGGGCTTTGAGTACGGTTCCCCTGTCCTGGAAGAGCTCCAGGAGCAATTCTGATTCAGGGATTCTTCCTAGAGCTCCCTGGTGCACTCAGATTGAGCTCCTTCTGCTACGTCCCTTCATGAAATGCAGCATACTCTTTCCCTGCACAAGTAACCTACTGTACTTGCCAGGGGGTAAGGGAGAATGGGGTCATAACCCTGCCTCCTTCCCACCTTCTTCAAGTAGTCTTCAAATCCAGGGAGTACATGGAGGGGCTGTAGTTGTGACCAACTGCAGCACAGTAGTGCAAAGAGGGATGGTGGGGGGAGAATTCATAGATTCCAAGGCCAGAAGAGACATTAGAATATCTAGTCTGATCCCCTGTATAACACACAACATATACATTTTTATTACACTTTCTCTGCTATATTAGAGAGCCATTTAGTACCTGGTATTTTCTACGTATGAAGATAGGATTACTTTTTCCCCTCTCTCGTTCACCAGTGGAGCATCCACCATAATAATGTGGCACTTTGTTAGTAAGCTTGAATTTCTTGTTAAAGGGCCACAGTGTACCCTATAATCACACTTCTTTTTTAAACTACTCTTGTTACAAGTAACACCTCAGACTACTGTGGCTGCAAATCATTTAAGGGGAAAAAAATCTTTTTGATTTATGTAAATTTATTTACTTTCTGCATTTGCCAGCACTTCATATGTCAGGTTTCTCTGTTTCCCCTGTATTGTCAATTTCCCAGTTTGTGAGGGTTTTTCAAAAATAGCAGAGAGAACCTTTTTTAAAAAGAAAGTTATTGTAGCATTATAAAAATTGGCAGGGAGACTCAGGGAAAGAAGTATCACATCAGCCATGAATTTTAATTTTTAAAATAACAACCAGTATGCAATGTTATCATGCCCTATTAACTAATATATCCAGCGGCAATGATACTATTTTTTTTTCAAAAGCAGAACATTCAAATGTACCAAGAAATATGTGTTCCATGTTCTTCAGTTTGTGTTATTGTCTGAAACAGAAGATTGTGAAATAAACGTTAGTATCCATAACTCTTCTCTGGACTATTGTATTTTTGTCCATTTACGTTTTGCACCTGTGTCTATTGGATTACAGAGCCCTTGAGCCATTCAAGTCAGTTTTAAAATCCGTTAGTAATGACTTTTTTTAAAATTGATTTTCCAAAGTCTGCTACATTGTGTTTCCCTGGATCTTGACTTTAAATTGCTGTTCAGCTGACAAAGTGATATATGTTAGCAGTATATCCATTGGCATCCAATAACCATTACTAATAAAAAAAAAACCCTTCCTTTCTTATTTGTTGTGGAAAGAACATTATAAAATGATCTCTGTGGACTGACCATTAGCTCAATGTTCTAAGAATGAGCTAAGGGGACAGAGGTCCATTGATGCGAGTGACAACTGGATTGGGCCTAAATTAACAGGCATTGCAAGTTGTGATGAAAGGACAGCAAGGGTGCTTGCTACTATTTGGCACCATGAATAGGATGCTAAAGCTGGTGGGTGTCAGGTCAGCTCTCATAATACAGCAGGGTCAGGAAAGCACTTAGGAGCTTTGATAAATCCATGCACATTTCACAATGTACTGTGGTATTAATTTAGATTGAATATAGGGGCCTAAGGGGTATATGGAGACCCCAGCCTGCTTAGCACCTTGGCAAACACACCATTAAACACCCTTTGAATCTTATATTAAAGGTACAGAAAGGAAGGAAAAACAATTGAAGCATTTGACATGTAAAATATTAAATAAGGCTTTCATTTTAACTACATCCCTTGTTCCCATTTTCATTAGCTGGACAAAGTTTTTTAAAGGAAAAAGCCCCTTGTTTAGTATCTTTGGTACATTTAAAAGATTGTCAAACTGTCCACTTCTCTGTTCATTACCATCCTTAATGTGTATATAGATAACTATATGCATGTGTATATATTTATATTTATTTCCCCTCCATTTTAAATAAGATAAAATTCGGAAGGTTCTTTGTGTATGAAAAAACCCTCTTATTGACAAATTTTCATTGAAAAGAAAGAAGGATTCACTTTCATTTTTACTGATATACAGTTTTATACTCAGAGAACTACATATATTCATGCTTCAAAATGCATTATCTCCCCATTTCTGTCCCTGCTTGCTCCCTTGTATATTATCCCACCACAAATATATAATGCCAACCATGTCTTAGGTTTATTCTTGCATTAATGATAATGGACTTGTAATAATTTCAATAATAATTTCAGTTGAGTTGCGTCAGCAGGATGCTGGAATAAGACACAGGTGAATCAGGCCCAATATCTCACCCATGAGACCTGGCCTATCATGTTGGATTGGACCCCCCCCCATCCAGGATGCCACCTGATGTGCTGGGGTCCTACTGCATTCACCCATTCCACCAGCCTGGGCTTCCTCACCCTGTCCTTGCTGGGCCAGGCCCTCAAGCCTTCTCTAGCACACACACACACACGTAAGGCCACACCCACCTGCAGACACAGACTGAAATCAGCAGTGTGTGGGAAGAATCAGCTCAGGGATTTACTCAGCACTCACATACACACCCCCTTTGGGGACTAAACCCAAAATAATATTGTCTTGTGCTATACAGAAAATTCTGCACAGCGCAAGCTCACAAAAATTGCCCTCTCCCTCAATGTGGAGAGAGAGATGCACAGCTTCTTGCACCCCCAGATACGAATTGCACAAACTGGGTTATGTTATAAACAAGATATAAGTTTATTAACTACAAAAGGTAAATTTTAAGTGATTATAAGGGGTAGCAAACAGAACAAAGCAGATTACTGAGAAAATAAAACAAAACATACAAACTAAGCTTAATACACTAAAGAAACAGGTTACACATAGTAATTTCTTACCCTAAAGTTGTTTCAGGCAGATTGCAGAGTTTCTTGAAGACAAACTGCTTTTGTTTGCAGCATAAAGTTCCAGATATTATTCTTCATAGGCCAGACAGCTTCTAGCCTGGGTCCAGTTCTTTCCCCAGTTCAGTCTTTGGTCTTCCCAGCAGTCATCTTGGTCAGGGATTCCGTGAAGAACTGGAGACCCTGATTGACTCACTGCTCACCTTTAAATAAGATTTACATAAGGCGGGAATCCTTTGTTCCCAGTGGAAAAATACCAGCAGTGTCCAAAGTGGCACTCCGTACCAGGTAATAGGGTCACCTGACCTTGCAGTGTCAAAGCAGCATCCCAGGAAGCTTCTGAGGAAGGTGGGAGATTTGTATCTTCAAAGTCTTATTGTTTTTCCTGCTGGCCCATTCCAGGCTGATTTCTTATTCTCCCGTGGGCATTTCCCAGGTGCAAACACAGTTGTAATTGTTACGTAGTCAATATTCCTAACTCCAGATACAGAAATGATACATGCAAACAAATTGGATAATCACATTCAGTAAATCATAACATTTCCAATGATATCTCACAAGACCCATCTTGCATAAAATATATCTCTAGGTATGTTATATTCATATCATAAGCATATTTCTATGAAGAATATGGGGCAAAAGGTGACACCTATCTTAAGTTATATCCCCAGGTTTAAACGGCTATAGCTCCATTGACTTCAGTTACATTACGGTGATTTGCACCAAATATCTGGCAGTTTATCTTCTGTGAGGACAGTAAATGAATTTTAAATTAGTAGAACTGAAGAAAGAGAATGTCTATGTATATATGATGTAATGGCACTAATACATAAGAAAAAGACAAATAAAAATTAATACTACAGCTTCTCCAAGTTTTCACAGGAATATGGGAAAATAAGGACAATAAACCGAAGAAAAACTCCTCTCTAAACAGTAAGTTTTTGATAGACATGAAAATTCAAGCCTTCTATCCTTCTATAAAATCACTTTCAATGTGGGTCTTATTATTAATTGACCTGATGTTCAACAAAGCTATATTTAATAAAAAGAGCTATCTATGTTATCTCAATCAGTGGACCATATGGAATTTAAATTAGTTAATTTCACAGATTTCAATAAAGAAGAATTGACGCCACATTTATAACTTATCAGGAGCATGTTACTTACTCATAAAAATATGGAGATTCTGAGTCAGTGCATCTTCAGCCATGATGAGGGCAGCGAAGGGTGACATAGACTTGATAATAAAAAGGCACTTCATCTTTGATTAGCAGAAAAGGTCCAAAAGGTGGAAGAGCAATTAACTTTAGAGAAGTATTGTACACGTGTTTAAAGACAACAACACATGTTAAAGATAAAACTAATTCCCCAAATCATATTGACTAGAGCTTTCATCCATAATGAATGCCTCACTACAGTCTGTAGAGTAGCTGCAATGTTCTTTAAATACTCCTTGCAAACATTCCTGAGGAATTCACAGACTGAAACAGGGCTCCGTGGAAGCGGCATACGATTCCTTTTAAAAAAGGTTGTGTGATGCTAAATAGATCCTGATTCCAATTCTATTCATGGAGTTAACCAAATGTCTTGAGGTCTCCAGAAAGTGTAATGCAGGGCCGAATCCCACTGGAATACTCTGTATTGATTCAGTGGCAATGGACTTCAGTGATAGACCTCAAACCCCACAAACAGATTGGGCTTTTAAGAAGTGCCTCTATTGCTTGGGCTGAAACTTCATAGGGTCTAGTCTCTGAGAATGGACCAATAAAATAGGTCCCTGGCACTGATGAAAGAAAGGGTAAGCCCGGACCTTAGTCTAACAAAAAAAAAAAGAAAAAAGATTATCTGGCTGTGACAAAGGGTCTAACCATTGCTCCTTTTATTTCTGTCCCCAACCCCAAAATACAATCCAAGTAATTATACCCACCAGTTTGTCATGTACTGTCTTGACCTATATTCATCTGATGCTTTTGATCTCTGACATAAGACTATTGTTTCCCCTTCCTAATACTTGGATGTTTGTCTTTCCAGGGCTAAGTTCAAATTAGCTGCTGTTTATCCATCTGATGATCTCTGCCAAACCTTGGCACATGTTGGTGATGGAGGTGGAGTCTGTGTGGATGGAGCAGAAGTACAGTTGAATGTAATCCACATATTGGTGGCATATGAGCTTCTAGGCCATCATGATCTCTCCAGGTGATCCCATACAAGTGTTAAAAGATGAACAAGGAGAATTGTACCTTGAGGGATATCACACAATAGGTACCTGGCCACAGGGAGGCAAAGAGTAGGTGCCCATCACAATTCTTGGGAATATGACTCAGAGTAATGACTGGCAGCCAAATAGTGCCATCTCATCATCCTCACAAGATTTTGTAAGTGTAACATTCCCATTGGGGTTGCTAATCAGAACACTTGTTTTTGAGCAGTAATTAGGCTCCATCCCTGACAGCATCGGTTGTGAGAGGCCAAGGCCTTGATTACAAGTGGACTGAGCACTGGATTGCCACTCAGGAGACCTGGGTTCTAGTCCCAGTGCTCTCACTGGCCTTCTTGGTGATTTTGGGCAAGTCACTCTGCTGCTCAGTGCCTCAGTTTTCCTATCTGTACAATTAGGAATGTGATGTTGACCTCCTTTGTAAAATGCTTTGAGATCGACTGATAGAAAGCTCTGTATGAAATAGGCAGTATTATTACAAATTGAACTCGCAGCAGCTCAGAGCGGTACCACTAGAAATGTTTTCACCCCTCAGCTCACAGAGAGCCGAGAAGCGATAATAGCCTCTAACCTGTTGTCCTTTCCCAAACTTTTTGAGTGGCTAAAAAGTCACTTCCCGAGGAGCGCTGCGGACTGTGAAGATGGGTTGACCGGAGAAACCTGGCAGGTTGTGGTGACAAACACAATTCTCTTTCTTAAAATGAAACAAAGGGAACATCTCGTATCTGAGCAAGCTGATATCAAGTAGGCTTGAGGGAATCAAGTAGCACAGAAGCAGCCACAGCCAGTAATAAGGCACTGTCTGGAGCAACAACCAAACAGATGGTGCAATGAGTCCCTCGTCCACTCCAGAGAACAGACAATTACTTACAGGACAAAGTCCATCTGCTTCTTTAATAAAATGAGGATTCAGCATAACTAAAGCTGCAGAGGGCTTTTTGCCAGATATTTAATTTAACAATCCCCTATAGGCTCATGTAAAAATCTAATATATGCCTCTTAACCTACTGTACTGGGTTCAATTCTTGGTTCACAATTGTAGTAATGAAAGAAATCAGTGCTTCCTGTTAGATTTCTGAGAAATGGCACCTGAACTGTGAAACTGCTGTCAATTAAGAACGTGAGGAGTGAATAATTTGTAGCGGGCATCTTGTTAACTTGTTCGGAACATTGGCAACGTGACACTGAGGATCAGAGGCCAGAAGGAGAAAGGAGATGGTGTGTAAGGGGCTATAAAAGGAATTGTCATTGCAAAGGTGCAGTTGCTTCAAATCATTAACCTGAGGATTGTTATCGAATCCAAAAGGATTGCTAGAGAGAGGGGGATCTGCTTGTGGAGAGAGTCCTTTGGACTGAGATAGCATTGGGGCGGGTTGGGGGGTTGGAATAATATAGAAGGGAAGGTACTTAAAGTCCAGTTCTCCATTGCCTTATACGGTGTTTAGTCATTTCCACCTGAGTGCAAGGTGGGTGCAAACATTGCCAAGTCAGAATGGAAGTTTATAACATCCACTTTTGCACATGTGTAAATGCACAAGGTGCAAATTGGTGGAAGATCAGGCGCTGAATGATGGGACAGTGCTGCTGGGGTGGAGGAAGAGACTTAGACTGGGAGAGAGTTATGAGGTTCCGGAACCCAAACACAAGCAGCAAAAGGAGAAGCAAATTTCCTTCCTTTCTGGAGGTAAGAGGCGTGGCGGGTCCTTGTGCATGTTTCATTTCTTCATCTCCAGCTCTTCCACAGTCTGAGGAAGAATTACCCTGTACAGTGGGTGCTCTGCACAGGTTAGACTGACCTGTGTCTCAAGCATTTTCAGCCAGAGCTGCAGGATGTGGCCTGGAGCAGCCACTTGGAATGGGGGAAATGGAGATTGCAGGAGACAATGACAGGATAGACTTTGAGGTATGGAGAAAGAAAAGGCCAATCAGGTAGAAATTAGTACTTATTATTAAACATTGTGCCATGTTCAACCCTATTGTAGCTTTATTGAAGTCAGGGATGAATCTGGCCCATTATTATTTAAAAATCATTGCCCAGTTTCTTTCATCATCTTACCATTTCTTTCCTTTCTCTCTTGCCTTGGCTCTAGGTGATTGGGTCCTGAGTTTGCAACTTCAAGAAAGTATATATACAATTAACACACTCCTGAAGAGCAGAAATTATATTCCCATTTAGTCACAGTATGGGTAAAGTACAGGTAAGAGTCCCCGCTTTACACCATATGGTCAGTGTCATCTAGGTCTATAACTGTCTTAACAAGGAAGAATGCCACATCTTTTGGTCCAAAAAAACACACCAAAAACAAAAACAAAAAACCTTGTATACCACAATCCGGGGTGCCAATATAGCAGCAGAAATGGAACGTGACTAAGAGCAGAACAGGTGAAAAAATTTCTATCTAAACTATTTTTGATGAAAAATTGGGGTTTCAACTAAATGACATTTTGTGAAAAGAAATGTGAATTTAGCTCATGATGTTGAGGTCCTAAAGATTCATTTTGTAGGCTTTTTTGGGAAAATAAGTAAATAGGCTATTATTGGAGCTGGATGAAATTTTTTTGGGCAAAAAAGTGCAGATTTGGTGACACCAAACCATTTCATGAATTTGTGTCAGTTTTGCCCAATTGTTTGGCGTGCGGGGGAGGGGAAAGAATTCTGAAAAAGTTGAAACATTTCTAGGGTGGGGTGTACCAATCTCACACTGGCCAGGGAAGGGTTAACATGTGGGAACAATCCTTGTGACACCTGCAGTAGGCTTGAGGGAAGGGGTTGCAAAGGGAAAGCCCAATTCAGCCGGGAGCTGCTTAGTAGGCAGAGTAGACCTCCAGTGCTCCATGCTGCGAGAGATGCCTAACTGGGACCAGGAACTGACTAGAGACTGCTGCTTGCCAGAGCATCTATGAGGGAAGGCAGCCTTGATGTGAGACTGTTTGGTTTGCTTGGTGCTGCTGACTGAGACTGCTGCAGGCTGTGCCTTGTCTGAATAGGGACAGCCAAGTAAAAGCCTTTTGTCTATTTGCTCTTGACTGGGGATCCAGCAATAGTCTGATGCAAGCCCAGGAGTGACCCTGTCAGTTTTGTTTTAATTCTGTTGGTTCAAAATGATGTTCTGAAACTTTATTCAATTGTATTATTATTCTTCTAAACGTTCAACAATGCTCAAAACTGAAACAAAATGTTTGGTTTTGGGCCGAATGCAATGCTTTGACCCGAAATGAAATTTTATTTTGACTTTTTTGTTTGGTTTTTGGAATTGCCAGTGAACTAACAAAATCCATGGTTTGCCCAGCCCTAGTAATACGAACTGAGGAGCATGGTCCAAAAGCAGATCTGTTTGTTCAGCACCCCTGGCACCACCATGAGCCTTGGTGATTTGGAAATTACTTGTTTTGTTGTTTTTATTTTTGGAGCCATTCCTGGTCTGGTTTGGCAAAACTGAAGTACAGCTGGTGCATTTTTGCAAAAATAAATGGCAAACCAGCTCCAGTGTCTATTTGTCATGAATTGAATCTGTAATTAAAGAATTGTATGGGCTGACTATTACATTTGCTGAAGATTTAGGTGAGAAACCCTGCTCATTTGGAACAGATGTGAAAGGCTTGAATTGTAGCCGCACCACCATCTCTCCACAGCATTGAAGGAAGATAAGTCCAGGAAGAGGCAGCACCGGGGGACTATGTACCACACTCTCCTATGAAGCAATTCTGCTCAGGTTCTTGCTCTGTGATGGTATGAATGTTATTAAGGGGAAAATAGGGCAAGAGCATGTCAGATCCAGAGGTTTTCATGGGGAATGTGGGAGACTGTGCTCAGGACTACAGTCCAGGGGCTGTGCCAATGTTCCATAGTTTGGAGACAAAGATGACAAAGTGACCATTTCTTTTTTAAGTGTTCATCTTTAGTGATGAGTCATTGACCCTTAAGCCTTAAATTCTTTCAGTCCTTTCCCTTGGTGAATGTTTAGAGCACTAAAAACACAGTAGGGTCACCTTTATTCAAAATCAGCTCATCCCACTCTTACATCAAATTCACTAGTAAATGAGAAACAGTCATTCTCTTAGTTTCCTGTGGAAATCTGTGTTTTCTATAAAATGATATCCTGTCTCTGAAACAGGATTTAAGTGACAAGTTGTTCCCTTAGTTACCTCAACAAGACCTAATTGATATTTAAGGAAGGGATCTTTAGGTTGCCAATAGACATATGGGCACTAGTTATCTCTGAAGGAGAGAGAGAGAGCTAATATTCTATCAACTAGTTAATTTTTGTTATTACTGTTTTATCCCCTATTGTAGAGAGCTGGTTGGAGAAATGTTGCTGGAACCATATTCCATTGGAATATACAGTTCTGTCTCAATTGAATTTGGGTCATTTTGCTGGCATTTTGTTTGAGAAAAAGTTCTGACAAAGTAGAAACGTCTCATTGATTTTTCATTTTGAAATGACTTCTAGGTTTGATTTTTTTTATTTTGCATTAAGTTATAATACAATATAAACAACTTTAAAAGTTAAAATCGAAATGTTTCTTTTTGAATGCCCCAAAACTAATTTTTCCCTCTGAATTTTCTTTGGTTTTCGCTCTGATTTGCAACAAAGTCAAATTTCAAAATCTCTAAATCCTTCATAAAAATGGAACTTCTGTCCTCCACACAGCTTGTTCATACTATCACTGTAAACTGTGTTTTTAAGAGTATATAAAAGAAATGGTCACTGTCCCATAAAAACTTGCAGCCTATAGTAACTCAGAAAAATACAGAACCTGAGGTAACACTTCAAGCACATGAAGTTATCACCCAAAATGTAGACTTTCCAAAAAGAGCATGTTTGCAAAATATTTTCATTATTGTTTCAAAAATTTAATAAAAAGGAGGAAATGAGATGGTCCAGTGGATAGTAGGATGCTCTGGGATGTTAGAGGCCTAGGTTCAAATCCCAGCTCTGTTGTCAACTTCCTGTATGATGTTAAGCAAATTATGTAGGGCTAGATTTCTAAAGGTATTTAGGTGCCCAATGATGCAGATAGGAGTTTGTGAAAATCCCAATAGCTGCCTATGTGACTCTGCCTCTTTAGGCACTTAAATACCTTCTGGCTGTGAACCACTGATAACTAATCTTTGAGTGTAAGGTCTTTCAACCAGTTGTACACTCATCATAGGGCAGGTTTACACTACAGGGTTAAGTCAAACCTAAGTTACACAACTCCAGCTATGTGAATAACATAGTTGGAGTTGACGTATATTAGGTTGACTTATTGAGGTGTCTACACCACATTGGGTCGACTCTCCCATCGACTTACCTTATGCTTCTCATTCTGGTGGAGTACTGGAGTCGATGGGAGAGCAATCAGCGGTCAATTTAGTGGGTCTTCACTAGACCCGCTAAATTGACCCCCGGTGGATCAAACACCGCAGTGTCGATCCACCAGAAGTGGAGACAAGCCCTTATAGTAATTAAATCTAGACAATATTGCCCTAGTTTGCTTATGAGAATGTCATGTGGGACTGTATCAAAAGCCTTACTACAATCAAGCTATATCACGGCTTCTGCTTCCCCCCCATCCACTAGGCCAGTAACCTTGTCCCAGAAGGGAATTAAGATGGATTGGCATGATTTGTTTTTGCAAATCCTTGCTGGCTATTCCTTATAACCCTATTATTCTCTAGGTGCTTACAAATTGATTGTTTAATAATTTAACAATAGTACTTTCCTACCCACTGCGAGGGTAAATACATTGAAGAGTGTGAGGTGCTTATGTTTTGTGGTTTGGCTATATAAAGGACACAGAACAAAAATTATCCTGATTAGTTTATTTTTTTAATCTAAACATGAATGAAGTTGTTCATTATCCAAACATTTATTATCCAATAATGAAAGATTAAAAGTAAATTAGATATTAAAACTGGAAGAATTTTTAACAATGTAAGGTTTGATTAGTAATACTGGTAGGGAAACTTGGTTTTAAGATTAAAGGGATAAACTTGTCCCTAGAATAAGTGCACTGACTTCAGTAGAATTACAATCAAGAAGGGATATGCATCCTGACTTTTAACCAGATTGTGTCTCATTAAAATAAAGTCACAGCACCCTGGCTTCTTCACATGGAAGGAGTAGATGTTGGTGTATATTTGGCTTTTAGAAAAAAAAATCTTATCCCCTTCTTTGTTGCTTTAACTGGGTGACTTTTAGCCGTACTTGCTTTGCTCTTTCATATTCATTGGGACATTCAATGTAAATATCTCTGCAAAAACAACTAAACCCGAAGATATTTAGTTAACTCTTCACTAAATTGCACACTTTAAGGATACTGTTCCCTTTAACATTGATTTGTACACCTTCATGTAAGAGTCCAGTTGGTTTCATCATATGACTAGCTCACAGCAACATACTCTATCCTCCCAGCCATCTGAGGGTCAGAGGAAGGCCCCTGAGGTAGATGAGTAAAGATTGCATCCCCGCCACCTCTAAACAAAAATAAAACTGTGCCAGAAATTACAAAGGAGGCACAACCCAGAACTTCCTTCCTCTATCTGACCTCCGGTGCCAAGAGGGTTACCCTCCCACTAAACAGGTCCCCAGTCCGACCCCAGTAGCACTCTCATAGCCTTGTTACAATTGAATACAGTAACAGTCTGCAAGGGACATAGGCATTGAAATATGTTTTCAGGAACTATAATATGTTTCAGGGTGTCTGGCTCAGTTTCAGGCATTTTGACAGGCTATAATCTGTCCTTCTTGAAACAATTGACAATTGTGCAGAGTGGAGCTGTGAAAATAGCCTGGAAAACAGACATCTGTTATTTCCAAAATATTATTAAAAGTGGAAAAACTACCATTAAAAAGTGCAGGGGGCCATTGGTTCTCCTAGAGGTGTTTTCATTTTGAGAAGTAGCTTCAGAGTGATGTATATTTTTATAGCCCTAAAGGTACAACTCTAACCAAGACTACAGGCTTTCAATGACACAAGTTGCTAATAATTCCATTATTTGCATATGATATGCAGATGCCTATGGGAATGTGAAATAAGGTTGAAAATTATCCCCCATAAAAAGCAGGAAATAAAATGTTAAAAATCTAACAACAGTGTTAACTTAGCTTTAGTGCACAAACATCAATTACAATGAACATTTAACAACCTCAGTAATAATGAAAAATACCACCATATATGAAATGGAGAGGAAATTTAATGTTTTGAGAAATGTAACTTCTTAGCCTAACTTATGTATTTTAAAACTCCACTAGCTGGATAGTTGCTGGATATTTTTGTCTTTTTTTTTTAATCTTCTCAATTTTTTTTTCTTTTAAAAACACCGACGTGTGATGGGGTGTCTACCCCACACCAGTGAACAAAGGGTTAACAGGAGTCTGAGAACTCTGTTAGACCACTTTGCTGAATCTGGGGTGTGTGTGTCCAGCCTGATTTTTTTTCTGAGACCCAGCTGGGGAGGAACTGAGCTTTCTTCATAAAAGAAAGAAGTGAATGCTAGAGGGAAGGTTCAGGAGGGAGGAAGTAGGGAGTTCCCTCTTTCTGGGAAGAGACTGGGGAAGGTAGACTGAAGAGAGCCACAGGGATGGAATTAATCCCTGTGTGGGCCCTGAAAAGGGGGCAAGGGACAAAGAGGGAGTCCTCAGGGGCTGGTGGTCTAGCAGAGAAAGAAGGAGCTGGGAGGGCCTAGGGAAAAGTCAGAGGCCTGGGAACCAAAGGAGAGGCCGTATTAAGCACAGGCAGCAGGGAAGTACCACAAGGGCCTTGGAGGTCAGAAGAGGCCCAGGGAAACAGCAATGTGGTGGAAGGAGCAGACCTAGCTTGTTAATTCAGGGCCCCTGGGCTGGAACCCAGAGCAGAAGGTGGGTCTAGCTTTCCCTACCTGCCCTGAGAAAGAGTTGTACAAGCCTGATATAAGGACAGGTGGGGCTGAACACTGAGCCTCAAGGGCATTCTGAGGAATAATCCAAGAGGGGGTAGAAGGATCTCTTGTGTTGGGACTTTTTGACTTTTCGTTGTGTTTTTGATACCCCAGAACAGGAGAGACGTTAAAGTGGTCTGTCCAGATGGCTGAGTCACGAGAACAGGTGGCTCACTGTGGGACTGGAGTGATTGCTGGCAGGGGGTGCTACAGAAGAGAGAGCTGCCATGAGTGGGCACTCTAATAGTGAGTCCACCCTGCTATCCATAAGTTTAAGCTTGAAATTAAATAAAGGTTTCTAATCATCAGAGGAGAGAATTTCTGGAACAGCCTTCCAAGGAAAGTAGGTAGGGGAGGAGCAGGAACCTAACTTATTTCAAGACTGAGCTTGACAAGTTTATGGAGGGGATGGAATGATGAGGTTGACTGCAATGGCATATGGCCCATCTGCGACTGCTATTAGCACATTTCTCCTACGGCCAGAGATGGGACAGTAGATGTGGAGGGCTCTGAGTTAGTACAGAGAATTCTTTCCCAGGTGTCTGGCTGGTGGGTCTCAGCCGCATGCTTAGTGTCTAACTGATCTCCATATTTGGGGTCAGGAAGAAATTATCCCCCAATTCAGACTGGCAGAGACCCTCTGGGTGGCTTTCCTTCCTTCCTCTGCAGCATGGGGCACAAGTCACTTGCTGGTTTGAACTAGAGTAAATGGTGTAGTCTCTGTAATCTGAAGTCTTTAAATCAAGATCAGAAGACTTCAGTAACTCAGCCAGAAGTCACGAGCCTACTACAGGAGGGGTTGGCTGAGGTTCTGTGGCTTGCGATGTGCAGGAGGTCAGACAATGAGTCTATGAGAGCAGTTGCAAGTGAAATAAAAGAATTAAAATGCATTTACACAATATTAAAGGTATATGTAAGCAGGGTCTAATGAACTCTCCCCTGACTTCTAGTGATGAGCTGGGTGAATAGACTTCAGGAACGGACCGTGTTTGATTAGACACATCTTCTCTGCCGAGGCGCACAGCATGATGGAGCTCCTTTGCCAAAATGATCACTTTTAGTGGTGTTGCGTTACAAATCACTTGAGTGTGGGGGTAATGAATTGTTATTATCCTTAGTGTATGAGTAAAGGGCAGCAGAACTGTACTTAGCCTGCCCTGATTGATGGGATCACCTTAAATTATTGAACTTTCCTAGCTAAGCAGGGGGAAGGGATGCCAAATCCTTGTAGGGGGAAAAACGGGTGTTCTGACCCAGTGGTATGGCTTGTGCTCAAAGACTCCTAGACAACATTTGGATTTTCCTTCTCCAGTATTTAAAGACAGAGCTAATTAGATTAAATTGAGAGTTTTTATTTCTGTTCAGTGATTACCAAAGCTGAATCACTGCTAAGTATGTTTAGGGGCTATGCCTTAGGCCTGGTGTAGGGACAGTGATGAAAGGAATGACAATGTAGAGACTGTACTGGCAGTGAGGGCAGGGCCGCCCAGAGGATTCAAGGGGCCTGGGGCAAAGCAATTTCGGGTGCCCCTTCCATAAAAAAAAGTTGCAATACTATAGTAACAGGTTATTTGGAAATGTAAAAAATAACCAGTGAAATACATTCAAAAATTAATTTTTAATAATTTGAAAATACACAAAATACATTATTTA